CTATAGACTCTGATTTCCGATAAAAAAATTAATGTGAGATGAACTTTCGACTCTAAATTTGTAACTTTTAAAAATTTGACTTACGAAAGATACTAAAAAGGATTATCACTTCGTATCAGAAAGGAGGCGATTTGTGCGTTGGAGAAGTTTTCCGAGAGACCAAGGAGGGAGATTGTAACCGGAACATAGCGTTTGGCAAGAATGACGGACACAATAGACTCTTATACGTGATCGCAATGCACTATTATACTGCGGTTATTCCTAAATGCGGTTGCGTCTAAATGCACACAATTTTATATTGTCAAATTAATATACGACGCTTTATAAAATGGAAATTTTAAAAATTAAAAATTTTTTAAGTTAACATATGTGCCGTGCCACAAGCAAACACTCCCTTTACAGGGTTTTCGCATTAGTGTAAGAGAATACCACCGTGTAGATCTTCATCAGTGTGAAAACAAAATTTTTCCATTATATAGGTCCCTGTCACAACCGGTTTAGGTGACATGATAGGCTATAATTATTATATACATTGAAAACTGGCTATAACTATCGCTAGGTTAAGTCGTACCTCGTTAAACAAGGTTTTAGAATTCTCTCTGTGGAACCGAATAATACAAAAAATAAAGCATTATATCAAAGGTTTTGTTTTTTGTATACAACAAAAAAAAAAAACACAAAAAAGCGGAGCAATCTCAGAAAATCATTTTATTACAGATTAGTTTTTTTCTCTTTATAATGCCAACCCCAAATTTTCTAATTTAAATTTGACTGAATCAGAGTCAATTCTTTTGTTTTGTAAAGAAGATCGCTTATGGTTCTCTTTAAAATCTATTTGCATTGAAAGTGCACTTAAATTAATTACATACACCCAGCGCAGAAAAAACCCTCGCACTTAATTTTTTTTCGAAATTCTGTATTTAATTAATTTTCATACTAAAGTGGTCTCACTCAATTAAATATTGAGCTTTGGTTTTTACTTTGGCGTCTTCCCTTAATGTAAATAACAGTTACTTTTTTGTTTATCGTTTAAAGTTATGTGGTTTTTAATAAGAAGTTCAAGTTTCATACAAAAAATAAGTTAAAAATATGGTGTTATCTCTCGAACAAAAAGCTAAAATCTTAGCGCTACATGAGAATGGTCTTAGCGCTACATGACAAATTGCGATGAAATTAGGGACAAACGAATGGAGTATAAGAAATTTTTTAAAAAATTATATTATTTCTGGCTCTTTGGAGCGAAAAACTGGAAGTGGAAGGCCGAAGCTTCTTAATGAAAGGGATGAAAGACTTTTGAAACGAATTTCACTTCGAAATCGATTTTTAAATGCGGGCCAAGTTAGAAAGATATTTTAAAAGCAAACTGGAAAGCGAATTTCGATACGAACAATGCAAATTGAGTTGAATAAGTTAGGAATGGAAGCCCGAAAGCCAGCTAAAAAGCCCCTTTTGTCGAAGAAAATGAAGTCGCAGCGTTTGGAATGGGCAAATACCTATAAAAACTGGACTGTGGAAGACTGGGGAAAAGTGATTTTTTCTGACGAGTCTAAATTCAACTTGATTGGACCTGATGGATCGCTCACAGTTCGGCGTAGAACAGGAGAACGATATTCACAAAATTGCGTTTTGCCAACAATGAAGTTTTCACCCTATATAATGGTTTGGGGGGCCATTACAAGATATGGTGTTGGAAGGCTAATTCTTCTGGAAGGTGTAGTAAATGCTCAGGAGTACATAAAAATTATCATCGAAGGTGTAGTTCCAACAATTGAGCAACTTTCTGAATATACTCAAAATGTAATTTTTCAAGATGATTCTGCGCCATGCCATAGAGCTAAAACGATGAGAATTTCTCTCGTGATTTCAAAATTTTTGTATTTTAAATTAATTTTATGGTTTTCTATTTCTTTTAGGTTAGAAACTGCAAGACTGATTTAGGGATTTCGTCACTTTCTTTGCCTGGAAACAGTCCAGACCTCAATCCCATTGAGAATTGCTGGAGTATGATGGGTAAAAAAATCCGGACTGAACGGCCACAATCTCTAGTGGAGATGAAAAACATCATCGAGAAGGTTTGGTATGAGGAAATAAACGTCGAATACCTTGAAAGTTTGTATTTTTCAATGGCTCGAAGGGTTGAAGCTGTCGTTAAAGCAAGAGGTTTTTCAACCAAGTACTAAATGTTAATTACCATTGTTATACCTTCTATAATTAATTTTTTTGTTTTTATTAATCTACTGGTTACTTGCAATTTCAATAATAATGTGTAATTTTTTAGTTAAACTTAAGATATTGTGAATGAATGAATATTTTAAGACCTTGATTTTTAAGCTTAAATTTTGATTTTTTTCTATATTATGACCATTGGGTTTAAAACTTTTAAATTCCTGGATATGCATTTATTTTTTTCGTATTAAATTTTATTTAAAATTGTTAAAAATATAATATATTGAAAAAATTTGAACTAAATTTTTGTGTTTATTTGATTTAAATACCGTATTTTAAAAGAATTTATTAAAAGAGTACCGTGCGAGGGTTTTTTCTGCGCTGGGTGTAGGTCGTATATAATTTATCTTTTATACACTTTTAACTGGCTTTACCATGCTAGTATGGATGAATTTCCAAAATAAACTTTCCATATTCATATTTAGATATTAACAATAAAAATTTTAAAATCTTCTCACCTTAAATATTATACAACTACTATTTTCAATACTATAAAACAATTTGTTGCAATGTATTTTAATAAGAAGGTTGTTTGAACTTCAGAAACTCATTTTCTATATGATATAAAGTTAAAAATACTTGAATCCTTTTTATAAAAAATATTTTACATATTTGGTTTTTACATTTTTTTTTTGTATCCTTTTTATGATAAAAATTGTGTTTTCTTTATGCAAATTATTACAACAAGGTAAAACTTATCCATATGGTCTATTAAACTTGTCTATACATATAGAAGTATATGTATGGATATTTTATTGTACAGTAATAAATGTTATGCGGTAAACAAACCTTAATCGCCCTATTGTTCTATAGTAGTAGTACATATTAGTAAATAAGCACCAAAACCCAATTGCATGGACTTGAAACAAGAGAAATGATTTTAAATTTCCTGTAACATATATGTATATTTATACTTTTATACTAATAAATGCAAGTAGATATATGTAGATATAAGCATGTATATGTATATATTTTACGTCATTCAAGGGAGTGCGCTGCGCTAATATCCTATTTTAAATATAGGTTACAGTAATTAATTGCTTACATATTATAATTAATATTTAAATATCACAAAGAATATACAAAAAGGAAAGTGAAAAATAGTATACGCTAAATTAATTAAAATAAGAATGAAATATAAACCTATACGTATGTACATATGTGTATATACAATGTAGGAAATGTATATATACATGTATATTTGTATTTTGTAAAGTTTTAAAATTTTCGAATGAGGTGTAATTAATGTAAAAATAAGATAACACTTAATTGTTTAAAAAGTTAACAGAAGATTTATGATTTTTCAACATGATAGTGTTATATAACATTAATTTATAAGCATGGGTGCATACATATATATATTTATATACATATAAAAGTATAAAAAAATTAAATATCTAATATATTATAAAGAAAAAACCTATTAAGATATGAGAAACAAATTGTTTTAGTGGCGCTATAAAATTTTGAAATAAAAAACTGTAGACATTTTTCTATCTTCTTTGTTTTTCCATTAATTTTTGATTAAACGAATCATATATAGATTTTTGTCAAAATTAATTGAATTTTAAGAAAAACAACAAAAAATTTTTTAATGACACTTAATAAAATGAAATTATTAAGTGGAATAACACAATAAATTATCTTAAAGGTGATAAACAATAAAGAAGCATTCGGTGAATATTAAACTAGATTTATAGAACAATTTATACCTAAAATAATGTTGTATAGCTTGGAATGCCAGTACATTATTTACATTCTGTTATTATAAATGTACAAATATGCTTATACATATGTAAATACTTCATAATTTGATTATATAAAAGTATACACCTATGATAACGAAACGCATATAATGATTTAAAATTTCAATTATAAAATTTCCTCTAATTTTTCTAACCATTACTAATTCTTGTAAAAATTTGACTGAATTCATTTCTCAAAAGCCTAAGCTTAAAGTAGAATAGACAGTCTATTCATAGATATATTAAATTTTGAACAAAGCAGGCATTGTACTCATTACAAAACGACGTTTACAATTCCGGTAATATTTAGCAAATTTTGTGTTTTCTTTCAAAAAATTCATGGAAACTTAAATCTAAACACTCGTTTTAAGAATACAACTTTATATAGTTCATTCCAGAGGAAATTTTGAAATAATACGCAAAATATTTGTGGTATTTAATAATCATAAATTTCAAGTTAGAAAATTAGATGCATGTAGTAAGTCATATAAGGAATTAAATGAATAACTCGGACATTTTAGTAGTTGTTCAGTTTCAACGTTGTACCTTTAAGCAACAATATTTTTTTTTTTTTAATTTGGTGTCTAAACCTTTTCAATACTTGAATATATATACATTATTATATATATTTACTTTAAAAATACTTGTTTAAACTTAATCTTGATCTTCAATGTTTAATTGATTGTTCACTTATCAAGTATTATTAAAAAGTATACAAAATGATAATGTCGAACATTGAACAAACTACATTGTAAATTTTGTATGTTTAATACTTTAAATTATTTAATCTAAAATTTTTGGAAATATTTTCAAAATGACTCCATTAATGTACTTTTCAATATTTAGATCAGTGATAACAATGTGTTACGCAATTACATTTTAAAAAAAATTTAATCTTAATGTAAAAATATTTTAATATAATTTAATTGTTAGGTATAGGCATCAAAAATTAAATTGAAATTTCTCAAATTGAATTTGTTCCAAAATATTTTTTTTTTAATATTTTTTCTTCTTTTAATTTATTTTCAGGATTAAAGCGTTTCTTTGGTGTTTCAGACATCACAGACAATCATAATATATGGCGAATTTTATTAGCAGAACTTATAGGAACATTTCTATTAGTTTTTATTGGTGTTGTTAGTACGATACCAGAGGAAAAAAGTGTTCCACAAATAGCATTCACATTTGGACTAGTTGTAGCAACATTAGCACAGGTAATTTTTTATATTTTATTTATTTTTTTTTTAAGTTTTTTGATGTTTATGTAGAAAATTGGAATAGTTGTATGATCAAAACTGAAAATAATTCCTTACAACTAGTTTTACAACTAAATAATTGGTCTGTGCTCACTCATATACCTCAATTTCGGCCGAACCGATTCTAAATAAATATTTATATTTTATAAAACTTTCTCGGCTATATGATCGATTGATTAAGTTTTGGCATAACAAAGGAAACTTTATTAGGAAATGATTTTACGTTTTAAATTATTTTTTTAAAGATCCACATTATGATTTGCTAACAAGCGTTAAATTCGAGCAAAGCACGACCCTTTAATTGATCCTTTTCTATAAGCCAAATTTACATTATGGTCTATATCCTATACAATAATATACGTCAAATTAACCTATAGTCTAATGTTATACCTTTTTCATAATATTAACTAGAAAGTTACTAGATTTCGAAAAATTTTGATTAAGTCTTTAAAGGACATTTTCACAAAGTTATGTGCAATTCTTTCATTTAACTAATAAAAATAAATTCGGAGATATTTCTGGAATTTCGTTCAGATCAAAATACTATTTCCGATCAAATATATTCTAACCACATTAAATTTGTACACAAATTTTACGCAAATTAATTTCGTAATTGTTGCAATGGGACTCAAACTAATTAAAATTTTTTTTCCCAATTGTGACTATAATTCACTCAACCTATTACATATTTTACGTTAATTATATTTTGGATGGGTTTGATAATTAAATTAATAGAATTGATAGCTTCATTTTCTTTTATAATTCCAAATGGAATAATTATTATGGAACCCTTAGAGATTATTACTGATACAAGTGAAATATGTATAATTATATATGGCACTGGACAATTATTGTTTGCATTAATAGAATTTTCCTCTATTAAGTGATTATCAAGAGTATTCAAAGAATACAGGGAATAATAATCCAAAGTATAATAATTTAGAGAACTTTGTTTTATATAGGAAAGCCTATTTGAGTCTTTTTCATATACAAGATTTTCGTTTTTTAAAAGGACATAATTTGAAAGTATGGCAATATAGATAATAAGTGGCAAAACATGATGAACATTCGTGCCGCCAATTTTTCCAAAAAAAAAAATTCAACGTGCCAAGTATTTCAGCGGAAAAATCAGTAAATAACTCCTTAAAATGATTATCCGAAAACATTAAATTTATCAATAAATGTAACTATTCATCTGTTTTTCACCGACCGTATTGTGTAAACAATAGGTAGGTTATGTGATGGCAACAAATTTTGCATATCGAGTTTTTGGTGGGAATGCACTTCTCCATAGTATTGAAGTGTAAGTAAACTATTTTTAGCAACCTGTCGGTCCGTCGGTCTGTCGGTCTGTCGGTCTGCGTGTGCACGCGTGTATCTCAAGTTCTGCTGAACCGATTTTGATGAAATTTTATATGCACGTTTATTTCCACCATGGCACGGATTGATTAACTTTTGGGATATATCAGGCCTCGGGAACTGCACTTTTTAGCGGGCCTGTTTTACATTTTTGAACATTTTGAAGAAAATATTCAACCGATTTACTTGAAATTTCATATATGAGCTTTGCTCAGGCATCAGCAACTGGACATTTACTACGGGCCAAATATACATTTTTGCGTATATAAAGGAAAATAATTGACCGACTTCATTGAAATTTAATATTTGAATACCTCGTATTAAAATAATGAACATATAAATTTTTTAGAAAGATCAGGGCTCGAAAACTCATTTGCGGGCCGATTTTACATTTTTCACCATATCTACGGAACGAATTGATGGAATTTCTTGAAATTTAATATTTGAGTTCTGGTTAACTGGCGAGCATTTCAGGGAATTCGGGTAGCACAAAGCGAAACTCTACTAAGAGCCAAATTTACATTTTCTAGGTATGTTAACTATAAGCTTGCTAATGTTCTAAAAATTGAAAAGAAGTATTTAAAAGACATTTTTATAATATTCTGTAACCCTTTCACTTAACTAGACAATATACAATGCGGTCGGTTATGTGCTGACCAGTTAGTTTCGATAACAACCAGAACTCAAATATCAAATTTCAAGAAATTCCATCAATTCGTTCCGTAGTTATGGTGAAAAATGTAAAATCGGCCCGGCCCGCAGATCAGTTTTCGAAACTTTTCCAAAACATTCAAAGATTCATTTTTTTAACACCTAGAATTTAAATACTAAATTTCAATGAAATCGGTTGATTATTTCTCTTTATATACACAAAAATGTATATTTGGCCCCTAGTAAACGTCGAGTTGCTGATGCCTGATTTCTTCCAAAAGTTAGGAAGTTTCGCGGACGGTCGTGTGGAGCTTATATATGAAATTTCAAGTAAATCGGTTGAATATTTTCTTTGAAATGGTTAAAAATGTAAAACAGCCCCATTAAAAAGTGCAGTTCCCGAGGCCTGATATATCCCAAAATTTGATCAATCTGTACCATGGTCGAAATAAACTTACATATAAATTCATCAAAATCAGTTCAGCCGAACTTGAGATACACGCGTGCACACACAGACCGACAGACCGACAGGTTGCTAAAAATAGTTTGTTTACACTTCCCTACTATGGAGAAGTACGTTCCCACCGAAAACTCGATATGCAAAATTTGTTGCCATCACATCACCTACCTATTGTTTAAACAATATGGTCGGTAAAAATTGCTGGAATTAAAGTCGATACAAAAAAAATTAAATTAGAATCCGAAACTGACTTGCCTACATGTGGAAATAAAGTCGAATATTAATTTGGACATTATTTCAACAAAACTAACTTCCTTCTTCTGTAATATTTCAGACTCATTTACCAATTTAAGAAATTTCAACTTCTTTTTAATTTTTTAAAATTTAGTAATTAATTAAAATTAGCAATTAAAATCGATTCCACACCTTATTTCATTATTTTTTCCTTGATTTTGTTTCTAGTCATTTTTTTTAGAATCGAGTTTAAAGTTCGTCCTTATTTAGAATGAAGTTATTTTTGATATATTTACAAATTTAGAGAAACACAAAATCATTTCATTATTTTTAAGTTTTGAAGGAATCATAAATTATTTCGCTCTCCATTTGGGAACTATGTATATTATGTAAAATATGAATACTGTTTGAAGTTTCCTTATTAAAAATATATTTATAGTTAAAGGAAAAACTTAATTTTCACATTAAAAGTTAAAAAGTTCTCATATGCCATAGTAAATTTGAAACATGTCAATCTTGGCACTCGTGCCATTGAATTGCCATCCTGATATAGATGACTTTTTGTGTTACTTTCACTATAAAAAAAATTAAAATACGGTAAAATTACCATATAATTTAATTCTTGAACAAAATAAATAATATAAAAGCTATATAGGCTTCTCACGACGTCAAGTCATTTGATATCATAAATCAATGCTAAAATTGGCACTTCACTAAAATATCAAAGAATCAATAAAATTTGTTAATTTATTATCGCGAACAGAAAGAATTTATTATTTTATTTCATTATTTTCGAATTAATGAAAAATTTTACTGCAAAGATATTAACAAACTTTTAATATTATTGATAATTTTAAAACATTTTAATTAGCTTATCTTTTGAATTTCAAAATTAAAAGGTTAGAAAAATAAAATAAATTTTCCATAAAAATTTATTTAATGTTTTCCAAAGCGCTTCCTGTGTGAGATTAAATCAATTTTATGGTTATGTAATATTAATTATCTTGAACATATTAATGAAGTAAGTTGTTTTATTAAAATTTTTCAAAATTATTTATTATGGTGCGCATATAAACTTTTCATATTCTACTGTTGGCGATTTCTAGAGGAAAAATTGAAAAATTTGAACGCTACCTGTTAAATTCTAAGAGTTTAACTTGTTTACCCAAAAATATATTGCTTAACCGGTAAACGCGTAAAATTTTCTTATTTCACAGCAGTAACTGCAAGGTAAAGCATATAATACATCTGTATATGAATTTTGTGTCTGTCGGTTCGAATATTACGGGAAAATTTGTCGATTACTTTTAAGCCCTTTTATATACTAAAATTGTAAGTCCATAAATGTGATTGCACGGGGTATTGTTGGAAAGGTTTCAGCGAATTTTGCAAAGAATTTCGGAAATCAGCCCCATGAGATCCTAAATTCCGGTAATTGGATTTAGAAAAGAACATGTAAAATATTATAGCTCTATGAGCACTGCAGATTTTGTATAAATGATAGATTTTAGTACCTTTAAGAAGAAATTTTTCAATATGCCAGTCATGAATATAAGAGAGACTTTAATGCCACCCTTAGCATAAACAAAATTTTAATATACCTAATAGCGTTAATAGACTACTAAAATAAATAAACAAGAAAACCAATACTTCCTTTCGAAGATTGGTGGATTTGTATGTTTGTCAGTAGTAAATGAGTTTTGAAGAAAAGTCTAAATTCATGAAAACCTCTAAGTTTTAAATTTGAAAAATCGTTCCCCTCGTTTATATACTTACATATTGCATAGCAAGTAATTCAGCATTCACACCATTGATATTTTTTTAGGAAATAAACTAATAGATTTTTAAAACCATTATTATTAAAAATAAATCATAACTTTTTCAATATACACACATAAAATTTTTTGGATTTTATTGATTTTTTGACGTAATTCGATGAAATAATAAAAATTTCAAGCTTTCTCAACCAAAGATATTTTATTTATTATTTCGTATAAACTATAAATTTAAATTAATGAAGAACATAGGAAAAAAAACTATATTATGCCCATTTTATTGATTATATTTTAAAAATAAAATTTTATTTTAAAATTTATTTTAGTTTTTCTTTTATATATATTTGGAATATTGAAACAACATATTAAAACATAGTTAATTTTCAATTGTTAAAATATTTCCGGGGTATTTGTTAATTATGATTGTTTTAATAAAATTAAGAAGCTTATTTAGAATAATTCCATATTAGAATGATTTG